GGGGTGAAAATGGGGATGAAAATTTGTATTGGGAACCAAGCTAGGGACGAACCCGAGCGAAGCAAGGGTAATTCACTTGTCTTAGATAAAATACAATACATAATTGCTCATCAAGAAAAAAAAGAATTTAAGAATTGTAAATTGTTATACAAATAGATACATTAGACGTTAAACATAACCTTGAATGAGTTTTTTATTTGTTAAATGATTAAAAACGTTTTGAAACCATAACAGAATTTTGATTACAGTGTTGAAACAATGCAGGAAGAACAACTAGTAGCCGAATGTGAGGCGCGAAATCAGCAATCATGGAACTGACATCGTCTCCCAAGCATTATTCATTGATTTGAGATATATTTATTCTTTAACTCAGTGGCAAACTGTACAAAGTTTCCTTCGACACTTATGAAACTACTAACGAGTGTTATACTAGTTCAAATGCCATAATAATTCAGTATCTGGCCCACTATTGAAGATATATCATAAATTTAATATATTGTGCTTATATTCCGGCTTAAAACTGCCTCAGTGGTGTAGTGGCTAGCATGTACGGCTGCACATCCGGAGGTCATGGGTTCGAGTCCCGGGTCGGACCAAGTTATTGAGTCTTTCTGTTTAGTAAGCCTCAGTAACAACTCAGAGACAGGCAGAGCCTCGAAGAGCTAATCTCAATGAGATTTGCCGCCGTGGCCGAAATCGGTCAGGAGAACTTATAAATCACTCAAAGATAAAATATTTTCCCGCAGTAAAAAGTATCCTGTATGTTGACCCGGATAACCAGCTATTATTACTATCCCAAATTTCATCAAAATCTGTCCAGTGATTTCCTTGTCATGCGTTCGATGCCGTTACAGACAGATAGACAAAAAATTTTAAAACTGTAGATTCGGCCTCTGTATCGATGATAATGTTTATTTCAATACGATTTTCCAAAAAATATTTAATGTACAGATTCTACTCAAAATTTTATTACACGTATCTATAGACTATAGAAAAAGTTTATTCAATATTGTCCTAAACATATGTAAAAACTTTTACAAAACAAAAAATGTCGAAATAAAAAAATAAAGTTGACAAGCAAGTGTCATAACTAACGAGATTCAATGCAAAATCAATGGGGTGTAAATTAAAAGCAAAAACGAAAGCTTTTATGGATCGCCGTTAGCGCTATATATCAGAAAATGGGAAAAAAATACACGCTGCAATGTCCCGGAGGACTGGTTAGTTTATTTTGTGTTCAAACAATTTTACGTGTTAAAATCAAACTAAAAATATGTTACAGCACTCTGTTTGTTTAAGATTTGATTGTTATAATAATGCTATGTTGTATAATTATATAATTGCTCAATTAAACATTTCTCTAAACGTAATTTGTCTTCGAATTTAGATTTAAAAGTGTAAATAATCATTTTTGGCGTATAACATTAGAAATATATATATATATATATATATATATATATATATATAAAAATATAATAGATCAATTGTAGAAATCAATTGCCGTTCGTTAGTCTCGCTAAAACTCAGAAACGGTTGGGCCGATTTGAATAATTCTTGGTGGTTAGTCAGGGGTGGTTTTATAAGAAAAATGGGGACATGGACCCCCAAAAAAACCACGTGATAAATCGAAATGTTTAGAATTATTTCATTTTGTATCTATGTATATTTATTTATTTATATAAAATATAAAGTCTGTTCCATACTAACCGTCAAAACCTAGTCGCTGTCTTAGATATAAAACGTTATTATAATCACCATTCGGTATTTCACTTAAAGCCGTTATATCATGAAGAAGTAACAAACAGACTCACTGTTTTTTATATTTATAATATAAGTGAAAGCTGTACTACTAAATGTTCTATTTTATTATTTGAATTTCATCCAAATCGGTTAAGCATTTATCTAAACTGATTAGGCAGATTCTGAGAGTGACATAAGGAGATTTAAATGTTAATATATGCTTAACATAATAAATACATATAATAAAATTCTGAGTCAAATCTGTCCATTAAACATTCTTATTGATATAGTCATTATATTATCGATAGAGACGCCGAATCTATAGTTCTAAGGATTTTTGGTCTGTCTGTCTGTCTGGGAACGCATTACGAGAAATCCACTGGACCGATTTTATAGCTTTGTATTTGTATATTTTGTATGATGATAGCTGGTTATCCGGGTCAACGTATCGGCTACTTTTTACTGCGGGAAAATATCTCATCTCTAAGAAATCTATACTAAATGTTAAAACGAAACGAAGGGCGAACACTAGCGGAGCGAGAATGAGTCACTAGTTCTTGCATGACGCTTTGTTATACTAAAATTTCTCCAAATGAAAGAATATATAGACTCAGTTGACTTTAGAGTCAAAGATAAATAAATTATGCCTCACTAAAACGCTATTAGACAAAGGTTTTATTCTCAAAATCTCAGTATTTTAAACTTTTCCACTAATTTCTCAGATTTAGAAAAGCAATAGATTTATTATTCTAGTCAATTTTTTTACTTGTTTGTTTTAGGAAAAAAAATTGTAAACAAAAATTTGTTAAGCTCTTTGATATTAGCGACGAATGTGATTGACACAATTGCCTTGGACATGTACGCGCCTGAAAATTATCACTGGCAGAAAACAGTACTTGGGCATACGGTAATATTTATTACTTATTCAAAACTTTTACGGCCTCGTCGATATAGTGGGTAGCATGTACGTTAATATATACCAAATTACAGATAGGCTACTTTTTATCCCGGAAAATGTATGGTTCCCGTGGGATAGATTTGTTTTTATTTTTGTAGAGGCGAACCCGAGCGAAGCGACGGTGAACCGCTAGTTTATATGTATAGATAAAGCGAAAATTTTATTACGGTGAAAGTTTGATAAAAAAGCTTTTAATTTAAAATGTTATGTACAAAGCTACATCTAAGTTAAGTTGAAATCCCGTGAAACTGTTCGTAACAGAGATGACAACCTACGGCTAGGATCAAAGACAAATAAACAATGTGTGTTTTCATATATATTTCTGTTAACTTCTGCTTACAATAATTTATCACGGAACCCGCTTTATATGGAACTTTCTAGTATGGCAAGATATATATTTAACCAACTTCCTAAAAAGAAGTATTCAATTCGGTTGTATTGTTTTTTATATGTATGTTATGATATTCATTTATAAGCATTTTTCCGAGTAAAGTTATAATCGTTTTCAGATTTTTCCTATAGAAAATATTCAAAGTATCACCCAAAAATGTACTATTAAATATTAAAAAATATATGTTACCGATTTTAGATATATTTAGTATTTAATAAAGCGGAAATATGCAATATTATATATAATAAATAACGAAATTATACATAATAAAAATATTTTGGTATCTCAATTGATACTTTCCGCTCAAAATTAAATAATTATTTTATTGAGAATATAGATTTTATTTTGACTCAAAATTGAAGATAATAGAAGTCTGCAAACAAGCCAGCCTTTGCCTGGATAATGAAAAACAATGTGGGTTAAGAAATAAATAATATTTATAATAAAAATGTCTTTAAATTAAAATTCTAATCTAAAACATTAATAAAGTATAATGAGACTATGAGTTTTTACGAAGAAGGCGTTTAACATACTCTTATTTTAAAAAGCGTATATCTATACATATAATAAAATTGTAACTAAGTCCAATCTGTACATTAATATTTTTTGGAAAATCTTATTGAAATAGACATTATTATCGATACAGAGTCTGAATCTACAGTTTTTAGAATTTTTGTCTGTCTGTCTGTCTGTCTTTCTGTCTGTCTGTCGAGAAATCCACCACCATCACGAGAAAACCACTGGACAGATTTTGATGAAATTTGGTATGATGATAGCTGGTTATCCGGGTCAACATATAGGATACTTTTTACTACGAGAAAATATCTCATTTCTGAGAAACAATACAAAAACTGCATTGTAAGAGTATACTAATATGTAAAACCTAAAATTTGGTTTTTGATCATCTGAACGCGGGCGGAGCCGCGGGCAATGCTAGTGTAACAATATACACAATCAAAGAAAATTTAATATTTAAAAATGAATGTGAAGAACGGTCGGGACGTAATAGAAGCCAGATCGACTTTGGTTTTTCATTTTTTCTACTGCTCAATAGCGCATCTTGATGCGGTAAAATTCATTTAAAAACGTAACTTAAATTCATTTCAATCAGCTGATAGATCTACAGATATATCTTTTGCTTTATTTACTAGGCGCTCATATAAAACGGGTAGCATAGTGAGTCGTTGTGACCTAGAAGTTTTGCCAAGATGAATTTATACTATACTTTATTTTTTTATATATAATTGACATTAATATGTCAGCGTTATATTTAACGATGAGAATATGTCATTCTAATACATTTTTTAAAAGAGTATCTTTAAGGGTTTTGCCAGTATTCTGTCATTTTTAGGGTTCCCTAGTCAAATAATACGAAACCGTTATAATTTCGCCATTTCTGTCTGTCCGTCTGTGACAGCTATTTATTACGAAGGCTATTGTAGATAAATTGCTGAAATTTAGTAGGTAGGTGTCTAATGTGAACCACTGCATAATATCATCAATATCTATTATAGAAATTTAACTTATATAAGAAAGCTAAATAGAGAGCCATATGTAATACTAGCAACACACCCTTGCCTCGCTCGGGTTCGTTCCTATGTATTTATATAATATTAAATTATTTGGATATTGTTCATACAAAAATATTAAAATCGCGATTAAAAAATGGGGGGTGGAATTAGGAGGGTGAAAAATATTTATGACCTATTCTCATACCTACCAAATGTACAAAAAAAATTCATTAAAATCGGTCGAGCCGTTTCGGAGGAGTGCGACCACAAACACCGTGACACGAGATATTTATATATTAGATTATATACGTATTACAATAACATCGGTTAGTAATTTTTATTCAATTCAATTCTTTGTTATTTGGTAATTTAATTTAATCGAATTTCGTCACAGTTCACGATGTCTCGCGGCTCGTGTGCGGAGGTGTGCGACAGTGACACTAAAACACTCGTTACCGCCTTTAGATCGTGGCTCCAAGCTCATGAGGACGCTCAAGTAAGTAAATAAATAAATATGTTGGGATATTAACACGCAGCACCATCTATGTAGTTCCATGGTAAGCTACGAGGCTTAGGTTATGGATACCAGATATTTGATAAACTACACACGTATAACTTTAAATACATACATATTATAAATATAAACACCCATGACTGAAGTACAAACATTCGTGCTCATCACACAAACGAATGCCCCCAGCGGGACTAAAATCCGCGACCGCTAGCACAGCAAGTACGATCACTACAAACTGAGCCAAACGTGTCGTGTGTGACGTAATATGATTCTAATCTTACCTTAAATGGTTAGGTTTGTAAAATATTATTTGTTTTTGTATTTGTAATTATAAACTAGTGTGATATGATACCAATAAATAAGTATCTAAATCTGAATATGATAAATGGCGCTGCTCTGTTATGTTGTATTGTGTTTGACCCTCATGATCCCTTCTAATTACCTACTAAATAGTTTAACGGATTTTGCAGAATTATTCGTCGTTAGATTCGATCGTTATAACGATGACAAAAGCTTTATCCTATGTCTCACCATAATCTATACGTATAATAAAATTGTAACTGATCGCTGCCTGTACATGGAAGATATTTGAGCAAAACTATAATTGGGGGTCTTTATTAAGGCAATAGAACCCAAAACAATGATTTATGGAATTTTTGTCTGTTTGTCTGTGCGTGCGCGCGCTAATCAGAAACGGCTTAACCGATTAGAGTGCGGTTTTCACTAATGTATTCTGGTAAGCTTCGCTAAATATTTAGTATTTGTTTTATTTCAATCGGTTCATAAATAAAAAAGGTATGTCAATTTAAAGAATTACATAGGGACGAAGCGAGTGTGATTCGCCAGTATTAAATACATAATATCGAAACGAATGTTACACAAATGAATAAGATTAAAATCTTGGGGCAAAACATATTGTACAAGTAATATAGAGCGGCAGTAAATCAAATTAGCTCAAGGGTCGAAGGGCCTAGCTATATGATAAGCAAAACCGTAGATTAGGTCCCCTTAGGCTATTGTCGTATCCACTCACACAAAAATAGTTGGTTGGAAAAAGAAATTTTATTAAAAACGGACGAGTGTGAATTTGACTCGTGCAAAAATGGTTCCGCACGTCATATTATATTTTTGTTAAGGCCTTAACTCTCACTGGTCGTGTCGAGTGGTCGTCCCACCAGAGTATGAGAGTGACAGGAATAGAGAGTGCACGTTGTGTCTGCGCGTACACTTGTGCACTATAATATCTCCTGCGCAGTTGGCTAGTCTCAATAAAATTGGCCGCCGTGGCCGGAATCGGTCAGGAGAACATCATCATTATATTTTTGTTATATTTTATCTATACATATAATAAAATTGTTACTAAGCCGAATCTGTACATTAAATATTTTTTGGAAAATCTAATTGAAATAAACATTATTATCGATACAGAGGCCGAATCTATAGTTTTTAGAATTTTTGTCTGTCTGTCTGTCTGTCTGTTACCGCATCACAGAAAAACCACTGGAGGGATTTTGATGAAATTTGGTATTGTGATAGCTGGTTATTCGGGTCAACATATAGGATACTTTTTACCGCGGGAAAATATCTAATTTCTGAGAAAAAATACAAAAACTGCAATGTAAGAGTATACTAATATGTAAAACCTAAGAATTTGGTTTTTGGTTATCTGACGCGGGCGGAGCCGCGGGCAATGCTAGTGTTTATATAATTTATTAAAGATGAGGTAAAATAACATATTTAGGTATTTATTTTGGAACCACAATATTAATTAATTGAATATAATATATAACAGTTGATATATTATATATATTGGTTCAATTTCCTTTTTGACAACGGAACCCTAAAAAGAAATTTTAGATATACAGTGATGATATATACAGTATACCAGTATATGTATGTGTGGTTTAACGAACAAAAGCGTTTTACATTGATGGTAATAAAAAATATAAAAGATTTACGCTACACTAAGTTAGAGATAAGTAAGGCTTCGTTCGATTCACCTGAAAAATAAAATATAATATCCGTTGAATCGTTAAAATTTTGTTTTGATTCTTTACAAATAACATAGTTTTATTTTGGTCCACTTATTGCGAGGTTATCGGGGAAAATATATAATAATCAATATATTAAATCTGTCGGCGCATAACTAATTTGACTTTGAGGCACCTTTTATGAAAAATTAAGGACGAATGAGCAATTTTCATAAATAGGAGTAAACTAAGTAAGTGAAACCGTGGGCAATAGTTAGTGTTCTGCAAAGAAAGAAAAATTCATTCGCTCATGGCCCATTTAATACTTTCCTATATTTTTACGCAGTAAGGACTGAAAATCTGTGACAAAGTAAGTGGAAAAGGCAATTCACGCAAGGGAACTTTTATAAGTTTCTGAAAGCTAAACTAAGTTTCAGTACATCGTATTCTTACTAAGTGGTACTGGAATAGGTCATTAGATATCTTCTTTTTATACTACTGACTGAGACTAAAGAATCATTTAGACGGAGACCCCCGAAATAAATGTCAAAGTCAAAAATTATAGCGTGATTTGCTGTTTATGATACTCTTACCGATTTTGCGATACGGATCGCTTACTTTCTATAAAGAATAAGAGAGATTTCATGTACATACATACATACATATAAGTTCAATAATAAATAATATACAGTTTTTGAGAATAAAATACGAATAATAAAAATAATCAAAATCAAATTCCGCGTGTTTAGCGAGCGAATCGAAGCGGAGTGAGAATCTAGGGACGCACCCGAGCGAAGCGACAGTGATATGCTAGTCTTTTAAAATATGAAAATATATAAATTACCATTAGCCATAACAAAATTCATTCCGCCTTGTGTTCGGAATCCACAAATAAACATGCATTTACCACCAATTCTACTCACACGATATGTAATTTATTATTATTACACCAGCTAGTTGGGTTTTCTATTCAGTGAACAGATCTAAACGTCCTCGTAGCTCTCGCTTTATATTAGCGAGCGATGAATGTGGCCTTCAGGCTGTATATTTTAATGTTCTTGACACATTGTTAGGTTTACCTGAGTTTTTAATTCATATAGGTATGTTCAAATAGGGATTTTTTTTTTTTTTTTTTTTATGTCGGGAAATGCATTTACGCATACCACCTGATCCCCCAGGTGGTGATGTGGGGCTCACCGGCTAGAAGAGCCGGTACTACCCACTAAAACCCGACATTCCCCTCCCCTCCGCCTTAATGGGACGCCGCAGGATCGCTTGCGCATAACTACTACGGCGCCCCGGCGGCAGGTCTGCCTAAAAAGGCAGACCACCAAACCAATGGGGCTGCTCCACAGTCAACTCTGCTACGCCAGAGAGGTACCCGGAGCAGCCCCATTAAACCTAACCTCCGCCCACCGAAGTGGGCCACCTCCAATCGGCTGCAGAGGACAGGGAGAGCGGCAACGACACACCGACACTCCTCTTCCCCTGCAGCCCCACCGCGTCCGCCATCAAACGGTGGCGGCCCCGTCTAGGCCGCGGAAGGTAGGGAGAACGGCGCACCGAAATACCGGCACTCCTCTCCCGCCGCGGCCTACTCCTCCGCCGGATGCGGGCCTGCGACCACAGTCCGGCAACCGGCACCCATCATCCGGTTGTGGGACCAAACGGTCCCACCACCGGTGGCCGCAACGTCTTCGGCTCGAGGCCTAGACGAGCGGCCCCACCCAAGCCATTTGGTCCGCGCCGGATTTCTCCGGTACCACCCGCCGCCCTAAGCGGGTGGCATTCCCCTATCCGCCACCTGGGGACGCGCCCGGTAGGAGTTGGCTTCTCCCCCGGATGTTCAAATAGGGATATCAAAACCTAACTAAAATTATTTTTTTCATTGGTGCCATGTTTCTTTTTTTTTTATAATTGTATAATTTTGTTGGTAAATACCGTTTAATAATAACACAGATTATATAATACTAGCAGAACCCGCGAAACTACAAAAAAATATCTAAAAAGGTAGTTTCTTACAAACTTGCATCCCCTATTTTACCCCCTTATAGGATGAATTTCGAAAAATGCTAAGACACATGTCATATTTATTTAATTTTATTGAAGAGCATATATACTAATTTTCTAATTCTGATCAAAAATATTTTTATTTTTTGGATTTTATTATAACGTGATATGCCGCGGGAATTAGATAATCTCCCACGGTAAAAAGTAGCCTATATCACTCTCCAGCCCTCCAACTATCTCCACACAAAGAATCATGCCAACCGTCACTCCCTTTCGACGTGAAAGAAGGACAAACAAACACATTTTCACATTTATAATATTAGTATAGAGGTATGGATTATGTTAATAACTATAAGTTCTGAGACGTCAAAAGCTTTTAGTCTCTTACGTGTCGAAGTTAGTAAATCCGGAAAGCCGTCGGGAATAAAAAAAATTAAAATGAATCCGCGGCAAGCTGATTTAAAATAGTTTTATTCAGAATATCAAATATATACAAAAATCTAAGGAATTATTATAATAAAAAGATTCTATTAAGTTTTCTATTATACTTAACTAGCGACTCACTCGCTTTGTTCGGGTTCGTCCCTAGTTTCGTTTTAACGAAATAGGTAGACTGTGTATTATATGATATATAGCCTATAGCCTCAGTAAACGGGATTAGTAGTTCCTGAGATTAGCGCATTCAAACAAACAAACTCTGCTTCTTTGAAATATCTATTATAACTTAACTCGTCCAAATCTCGGGTCTTGAACTCAGGAATGGCAAGAGTTGAAACGTTATCAGTGATACACCCTTGTGACGAAGTGAAGCACTTAAAGCTAACTTTGTCTTCCTTCTGGTATCGGATAGCCGCCCCACTGGCAACCTCATATGCGCAGATTTTATCTAAGTGGAATTTGCTATCATGGTCAAAATTCAGCCTGGATTAAAATAAAAATTATTACGAGTATTTTATGTCTAAAGTATTTAGATAGAAAACGTAAGCCGATATTATGATCTGACATCTCTACTGTCTTGAATGATTTCAATTTTGGAGAACGCTTACATATAATTTATATATCCATACTAGCACTGCCCGTGGCTCCGCCCGCGTTCAGATGACCAAAAACCAAATTCTTAGGTTTTACATATTAGTATACTCTTACATTGCAGTTTTTGTATTTTTTCTTAGAAATTAGATATTTTCCCGCGGTAAAAAGTATCTTATATGTTGACCCGGATAACCAGATATCACCATACCAAATTTTATCAAAATCCCTCTAGTGGTTTTTCTGTGATGCGGTAACAGACAGACAGATAGACAGACAGACAAAAAATTCTAAAAACTATAGATTCAGCTTCTGTATCGATAATAATGTTTATTTCAATATGATTTTCCAAAAAATATTTTATGTACGGATTCTGCTTAGTTACAATTTTATTAATATTTTAATGGCTCTATCTATAAAGAATTCATTCTATTCTCCAAAATAAATTGATTCAAGTAGGTATATCTACAATCTACTTGTAGATAAGCCAATCGACAAAAAAATATGTCACTAGTATTGTCTTTAATATGCTCCTGACATATATCATATTTAGACAAGTGTAAATATTAATCTTACATGTTTATTATTCACCAGGTGATGTTAGCTAGCATCCTGGTAGTGGTGGGGTTGTGGTGGCTTGTGCGTGCTGTCCTCGCTCTCATCATAAACCTCGTCTGTCCCATCCTCGTGGTTTTACTAGCTGTGGTAAATATTTATGTACCTATCCTATAGCTTTTCGTCTGCTAACCCAAATAAAAAGTATGAAACTTTAATGCCCAATTTCACCAACATCCCATAAGCTACCACCTACGTATGGGATCCCTAGCTTAAAAGTTCCCCTAAACTAACCACTAAATTAAATTTTGTTTTACCATCGTTAGAGCCCGAATTTCTAGTACCAAATATTTAGGTGGCATTTTAACATTTAGGTGACCCCTTACTGTCGGTGAAACAGAAACTGTCCCCTAACAGCCCCCTAACCCTGCTTAGGGGATCCCTTAAACTTAGGTGACGTTGGTGAAATCGGCCATTAGTCTGCTAACCCAAATAAAAACTATGAAATGAGACTTCTCTTTTCATCGTTTTTTATTTGGGTTTAGGCCCGTGCATAACAATTGGCCAAATAAACCTATAGAATAGTATACAAGGATTGAATTGCTTTGTTTCTTATAATTTAAAACTACACTAATTTGCTATAACTTGATGTACGCACTATAATCTAGGCAAAATTAAATGTTGTTGTTAGTGCGTAAAATAACGATATTTTTAGCATTTATAACCTTAAAAGAATATACGATATAACACCATAATCCATAACCATGCAATCGGCTTTAGACAATTTGCACATATAGAGACCAATTTTAGCCCATGGCTCCGCTTGCTCGGTCATCAAAACAAGAATAAAAAGCAGCTTATTCCCATACCCAAGGTTTTAATCTATCTCTTTGCCTCATCAGAATCTGTTCAGCACATGAAAATGAACAAAAAGTTTTATATTTACATTTCTCGTTTCAAAATATCACTAACATGTTATCAGACTTATTCCCTGTGGAACAGTATAATTATTTTAATCGAGTGTCCTACATTTTTCAATTGCCAATCGAGATATATTTACTTAGAACAAACGCATATAATTGGTTCATTGTTAAAAAAATGTATGTATATAAAATTGTACGTAATATAATTTAAATTAAAAAATAGTTCTAAAATTTTTTCGCTAGTTCGCTATCTCGTTTTAGACAGCGCCAGTGTCATACACGACACGACAGACTTTGGTATCACGGAGGGTAAATATTTTATTTTAAAATTTAAAGTATTAAAGTAAAATTGTTCGCAAAATTAAAGTTTATGTACCGTAAAATGTGAATACAATACTTGTACATACATTTTCATTATTGCATACCTCACGAAATAGTTAAAAGACATGTCAAACTAAACGCCAGCTTCTCCAGATTTTTAGAATGTCAAGATTAAAATACTTGTATAGTGAAACTGAAGTTTACCGTTTTAAATAAAACTATCTTTTCGGATTTTGTCGCGGATTTATTTGCATTTTCGTTTCCCGACGTTTCGAATGCTTTACAGCATCCATGGTCACGGGAGAGACTGAGGTGTTACATGTCTTGGAGGTATAGTTGTTACAGACAGCCTACCCACAATTAACAACTATACATTCAAGACATGTAACACCTCAGTCTCTCCCGTGACCATGGATGCTGTAAAGCATTCGAAACGTCGGGAAACGAAAATGCAAATAAATCCGCGACAAAATCCGAAAAGATAGTTTTATTTAAAATGTCAAATATTCGCGTAAATCTAAGAAAGTATTATGAAGTTTACCGTTCTTTATTTTTGAACAAGAATGTTGATATTGCGGACTTTTTAAACGTTTTTTTTTTTTGATCAGGGCTGTTTTCTTAAAAATCAACCCCACCTATTGTATACCTAAGTCTACGTTCTTAAATTAATTTTTGAAGCATATTTTTAGTGCATGTACAGTATTATACACCATATTAAAATTATAATCTATCTTTTTTAATATGTTCTGAAAATGATATACAGATTTTAATAGAAAATAAATATTTAGGCTAAATATAAATAAACATATTATTATAATGTTGAGTTAATGAGCTAAAACCTTTTTAAGTTGGGAAATGCATTTACGCATACCACCTGCATACATACAGGTGGTTATATGGGACATCTACTAAAACCCAACGGAACCTTCCCTTGTCTTAATGGGGCGTCGCAGGATTGCTTACGCACTCAACCACGATACCCCAACGGCAGGTCTACTGAAGAAGACCACAACAACCATGGGGTTGTACCAACAGTCCACTCTACTATCAGAGAAGTACCAGGAGCATCTAGCATGGTATACCGCCCAACGAGGTGGATCGAAGGGTTTAAAAAGGCCTTATTCCAGTTTCCAACTATTTTTAACTTTCGTACGTCCAATCTATTTCACTTATCTTTCACTCATGCATTGTTTCCACCTACCTAAATCCTGTCCAAATAGAAATCTGTTAAATGACGTCATCGTTCCGATTTTTTTATTTAGACATTGTTTAACATATTTAAGGCATTCGTTCGTTTTTTTATAATATTATATATGAGAGAGGTAATAGTCGTCCGACGCAATTTAGTTTTTTTTTGTTTAATGTAAAAACATACTTTAAATGAAACTATCTTTTCGGCTTATTTCGCGGATATATTTAGATTCTTGGTCCCCGACATTTCGAAAGCTTTACAACAATCACAGTCACGGTAGAGACGAATCCTGTGACGAATAATCCGAAAAGATAGTTTTATTTAAAATGTCAAATATTAGCGTAAATCTAATAAAGTATTATAGCAACACACGTTGAAACTAGCATATATGGATACAGGACACTTAACCAAAAAATATCGGAAATACGGTGCCAGTAAATCGCCATGTGGCGATCAACAATTCCAATTAGTTATCTCGAAAACTTTAGACAAGGGTCCTCTATCCATACATACCAGAATCATACGCCGCAAGTTTGAAAAAAAACCCAATTGGCGTTTGGTAATGTCACTATGGTTTCATTCATGGAAAAGTAAAAACAATTTCTATTCCGCGGTTCCATCCCACATACGAGTATGTACATATGTACGTGTACTAGACCTTCGTTTTCATTTGATGTATTTTTTATGTAAACTACGTTTTATTGGTAATATAACTCATTTTCCACAAGATATACTTTATAATATACAACCGATTAAGCAATTATGGTATTATAATATTATAAATGAGAAACCAACCAACCAAGCGATATTTGGCGTGGAATTAATTGAAAGGTCAAGGAGTATTTAGCTTAACTTTGCAACCCTTGAATCCTTGAAACTAAAACTAATACATATCTTAAACGCGCTGTGTTGTATTTGTTACTGATTTCTATTATAAAGATTTATTGTAGGGCAATATAATTATCTATACATATAATAAAATTGTAACTAAGCCGAATCTGTACATTAAATATTTTTTGGAAAATCTTATTGAAATAAACATTATTTTTGATACAGAGGCCGAATATATACTTTTTAGAATTTTTGTCTATCTGTCTGTCTGTCTGTTACCGCATCACAGAAAAACTACTGGAGGGATTTTGATGAAATTTGGTATGGTGATAGCTGGTTATCCAGGTCAGCATATAGGATACTTTTTACAAAGTAATTTTAAATATCTCGTTTCTGAGAAAAAATGCAAAAACTGCATACCTACTAATCTGTAAAATCTAAGAATTTGGTTTTTAGTCATCTGAACGAGGGTGGGACCGAGGGCAATGCTAGTGTCTATATAATATACTACCAAATAAGTTCGTTTTCCCTCGCCTGGACAGTATTGACTTTGTTCAAACTAAAGATTTCATTAAAGCTTTTCAACTACCAGTCTTATTTACTCTCAATACAAATAAAAGATTATTATTGTCTATGTAATTGTACTTTGAAACAATAAATAGACAATTAAAATTTTACTAACCGAATTTCAAAAAGGAGGTGGTACTATGAAGTATATATATATATATAATATGTACTTTAAAAAAATATTATTATTTTTCACTTTGTCGTTGTTTATGATTTTTAATTATTATTAAAATTTAATTATTTTTACGTTAATTTTGGGTATTTTGAAAGTTTATTTCGTAAATGAGAAATGTAATTGTTGGTTCGTTCTTTTTTCACGAAGCAAATATATTGAGCAAGAAATATATTTATTTATTTATTTATTAATTTTTGGGAAACAAAAAGTGACATAATGCTTAAAAATAATTAAAAACTAAAAATTCCACACACCAGCAAAGTTTCCACCAATAAATATGTCACAGGTAGAGTAAACATAATTAATTTAAACATTAAAACAATATAATAAAATTTTAACAAAAGTTACTGCAAAAATAATAATATTGAGTATTTATTTCAAAACACAAACCCTTCTTTCCCTTCCCTCTATAATAATGTATGGAAGTCTGCCCGATTTGTTGACTTTTATGATTACTGCTCCGCTCCCTTAGGTAGTAGCTTGATAATATATAGCCTATAGCCTTCATCAATAAACGGGCTACTAGAGAAAGAATTTTTCAAATCGGATTAGTAGTTCCTGAGATTAGCGCATTCAAATAAATAAACAAACAAACAAACTCGGCCTCTTTATAATTGTATAGATTATATTACTCATATATAACATTGATATTCGACATAAATATTATTATTACATAGTCTATGTTAAAAACCTATTCTTGCAAGAAATAGTTACATATAATAATTACATATTTTATTACGTGAAGGTAGACTTAAAAAAAAACAACCCAAAAGATTGATATAGTAATTACTTTAGAGCTTTTTTGAAGTCGAAGAGAAAAACCTTTCTGAAAATAATTTATTGTATCGCATTACAGGTCTGTGTTCCGCAACTCCGAGCGCCTTTACTGGGTCAGAACTATCCGCTTCTAGCGAATCTTATCAAGAGCATATTGTTAAAGATGGCTGAAAATATCAAAACTTGATATTCATTTGTATTAATAACTATGTGTTGTCTAAAATTTTCATATAAAAAATATATTATGTATAATTAAAGTATGTTTTACTCGAACCGTTTATTTTATGTGCAATTAATATTGTATAATGTACCTATATATGAATGTAACAATTTAGTGATGTGTGAGTGAGAAAAATGAGTGAAAGTGAATTAATTGGTTACATTTTAGTGATGTATTATATATTTTAACGGGTTTCGGTGACTTTAAATATATTATATTCTTTAACATAATTGCTACGTTTATATATTTACTAGCAGGACCCGCGCCTTCGCTCGCGCTAAAACTAGAAAAATCTTTAATAAGGTAGTTTCATACAAATTTTCATCCCCTATTTTACCCCCTTATACGATGAATTTCGAAAAATGCTAAAACACGTATGTATTTAATTTTATTGAAGTTTTAAATAAAACTATCTTTTCGGATTTTTTCGCGAATTTATTTTGATTTTTGGTTCCCGACGTTTCGAATGCTTTACAGCAATCATGGTCACGGGAATTATTTAAGTTAAGAATAGAAACCAAAACAAAGATTTTTTTGAATTTTTGTCTGTTTTTCTGTGCGTTCGCGCTAATCTCAGAAACAACTTAACTGATTTGGGTGCAGCAGTTTTCACTAGTGTATTGTAGTATTTAGCCTAATATTTAGTATTTGTTTTATTTGAATCGGTTAATAAATAAAAAAGTTATGTAACAATTTAAAAAAATCACCTAGGGACGAACCCGAGCGAAGCGACGGTGAGTCGCTAATTTTAATCATAATATATTTACTTAAACATAACTTTACATTTACCTACTTACGAGTAGTGCCGCGGGAAAATATTAGTGTAGTACTCGTAGTCTTCTAATTAATCACTCACCAAAAAAAATTAATTTTAGGTTGATATTTAGGGATTTTGAAAATGGTAAAACTTTTTAGTTAAATAGTAGTTGCTATATTAATATAATCAATCAATAAGCAACACGTGTGTCCTATGTGTCATATAATATCAGTGATTCCTTGATAAATACACAATTAGGCTTGTTACACACTAAATATAAAAAAAAAATTAATATCTATATCTAATTAGAGATTAACTTAATCTTATGTTGTTACGTCAGTGATTAGCGTATTGAGCACCAAATAATACCAAAAATGTAATGGTGTATATAGGAAGGCTTAAAACGTATTTGAGATGTACGAGTATGATGATCTATTTTATTTATTTATTTATGTACCAGAAAAAAACACAAGTTAAAACATATGCCATGTGTACAAAGTATGACTTATCTCTTTAAGAGATCTCTACCAGAAATCCTCAAGCGTGAGAAAATATAAAAATAATAATGCGGTGCGGTGTAGGTACAAACTACAAACATCAATTATAATATAAATATACATATATACAAACATACATACATACGTACATAGATTACCAATAGATCAAAAAATAATATCTAAGTGTGTTTCTCAATTCAGTGACTACGGGTAATTATAATTTTAAACAAATATCCTCCCTTGTGCTCTTTACGAACGTTCATAAACAGTCCAATACAGTTAAAAAATAAACTTAAAAATAAATATTCAAGCTTTAGAGATAGATTTTTCTTGATTTATTGTCTTAATAATATAAAAGGGATCTCGAATGCATTACATCAATTGAGATGATGGAGAGACTAAGGTTTTAGACGTATATATGAAGCATTACATACTTATTACAACCTACCCACAAAACAACAAAATGAATTCAAAAAAAAAATAAAAATGGCACCAAAGTACCTTAGAATATTTCTTAATTTTAATTTTAAACATTTTTATATATTTTTTAAAATGTTGTTTTAATTAAAATGTCAAATATTCGCGTAAATCTAAAAAAGTATTACTTGAACTTTATTATTTTCGAATCTTTTATAGTAAAGGAAACAGTAAATATAATAATTTAAGCGAATGGTGTGCATCGAGCTTTCTGTCATATCTCGTGAACGGTTCGCGATGTTATTACGAACGTTGTCGGTTGGCAGGTGGTGTGTTGAGCTGTAATATATTAGATATTAATTGGTTACATGTGCCAATTTGGTTACTACCTCTACTGAGTTAAGCTTTAATTAATCAGCTTAATAAACATTATTGTACTTGAATTAGATTAGCTTTATTATATTCGAATTTGTCTAATTGCGTAACCGGTTGCTTCTGGTACTTCTCTGATACAAGTTTGTGATGTAAAAACCACTTCCTGGTTGTGGTAGGGGCGGAAGCAAACTTTTTTTTAAACCTGTAGACATACAGCTACAATACAAAAAGGGCAAGCAACCTAAATTTTACTTAGTTGAGATAAGCGTGAGTGGTCGGAGGCTATAGTGTCGTAGAGCGGCAAGGAAAGTAATCCCATAATACAAAAATAAGAGTTTAGTTAGAAAAGTAAGAATATTTTGTATTTCTTATGGTGTTTTTTATAGTAATTCTAGCTTTTTTATCACATCAGGACATTACCTGCATATACATAGCTTAGTGATTAGGAATATAGTACCTAAGTTCAAAGAAATACCTTTTTTAAACACTAATATGTAATTTGCTTCGAAGTTGTTATATAATTTAGAAATCTATAGATTCATAAATATCCACATCGAATCTGAGACTTCCAGGTTAACAAATAATACGTGTAAATTTTTATACCATTCAACTATACCACGTTCTTATGGAAGCAAAACTTAGTTTTTGGGACATAATATGTAGAATATTAACATTTTGCCCTTCAATTGTGTAATACATAATAAATTATCATAAATTTGCCATAGACCAGAAAACTAATAAACCACGCAGAAGTGGCGTAGATCCATCAAAAACACATCGTGTCATTCGTAACATCTGTCAACATCACGAACGTGGTGTTATTAGACTGAAGTCACTTTGTATTACTTATTATTCTGTACACATCTCTGATCTAAGGATAGAATATATTTACTTTTTTGGAGATTTGTTTTTAATAGATTTAGCACGTGACGATATTATAGTCGATTATATATTTTTTACATCTAGGGTTGTTAGATGATCTGGAAAACGGTGATAAGTTGCTGTGTATGAAAGTTGCTATTTAAAGTCAAAAAAATCACTTTATCTATACATATAATAAAATTCTAAGTCGAATCTGTACATTAATTATGTTTTGGAAAATCTTATTGAAATAGACATTATTATCGATACAAAGGCCGAATCTATAGTTTTTAGAATTTTTGTCTGTCTGTCTGTCTGTTATCGCATCACGCAAAAACCTCTGGAGGGATTTTGACAAAATTTGGTATGATGGTAACTGGTTATCCGGATACTTTACTACTATAGGATACTATTTACTGCGGGAAAATATCTCATTTCTGAGAAAAAAAATACAAAAATTGAAATGTAAGAGTATGATATGTAACCTGGTTTTTGGTCATCTAAACGCGGGCGGAGCCGCGGGCAATGCTAGTAAATATATAAATAAAAAAGTATACTCATATGAAAAAAATAGATTTTAAGCATCTGTTCCCAAAATTTCTAAATGAAAAAAAAATATGTTTGAATAGAAACGTGTTAGAAGTGATACTTCTTGGTTATTTATATTTCAAATCTATAAGGTTAATAAATTAATAAAAAAATTAATATTACACTCAGACAAAAATATTATTCAATTGGATAACACATAAAAAGAAGATAATAACATTTTATCTCTTTCTATCTAGTTGGATTTTTACATCTATCGCATTTACTCTAAGTGACAAAGGTGAGCTGCTAGTTATAAATATTTTGCATATTTGAAAACAAATTAGTAAAAATTGTAATCTTTGAATACAGCAACGGAAATAATATCATACATATCATTTTTCAGACAACAACGGTTACTATGGCAACCTTGTACAAGCGGTTACTGTGGCAACGCAACCGTGACGATTTTTCGTGACGCGACCTTGATATTTTACTCTCATACGCGCAAAGAAGTTTCACTTCAAAAAGAATGTTATGTGGCCTGTGTGTTAGACCGTCTGTCAGTTTGTAAGTCTGTATAGTTTCTAAAAAGCTGTAATATTTGACAGGCAGCTGATTGTAATTTACAGAAAACATACTATTTTAATATTTTCACCAATTTCGAACAGAAAGATGTACTCAATTAAACTATATTTTGTGTTTATGTTACGCGATATCTATATACTTCGATATAGATATGTACATTGTACATATGTATGTACCTTTTACAATAAGCATTTCTACTTTCCTTTAGCTTTACTTATTACTTAGCTACTGTTACTCAGCTATTATAATTTTCAAGTTATAGTAGACTAATTTATTTATTTAAAGCGAAGGCCTCCCACAAGGTGGACCGATGACTTGGTCAAAGTCGCTGGAGTCCACTGGATGCGGATGGCGCAAAACCGGTTGTCGTGGAAATCTTTGGGGGAGGCCTATGTCCAGCAGTGGACATGTTTGGGCTGAGACGACGACGACGACGACGACGAGTAGACTAATTAATTTTAATAATTATTATCGATTTCTCTTTAAAAGTAAAATTGTGGTAGTATTTCGGAAATATTCGTATTTAACAAGCTCAAATATCTTCATTTGCTAAATTCAAATGTCAGAGAGATCAAATAACAATTCGAAACGGTTTACCTATTAACTGGTACTGAAATCTGATTTTCGAGTATTTATCAACTATTCGTGCATTCTATTTATAAGCAGTATAAATTTATGTTTATTAAAATAATTACCTTATAAATACACTGATAAGCAACTCACCCTCGCATGTATCCCACGGGAACCGTACATTTTTCCGGGTTAAAAAGTAGTCTATGTTTTATTCTGATGTATGAACTATATTATTGTAAAGTTTCATCAAAATCCATTCAGTAGTTTTTGCGTGAGAGAGTAACAAACATACATCCATACATACATTCTTACAGACTTTCGCGTTTATAATATTAGTATAGATGGGATTAATAAAATTAAAATATTTAAAT